GTCCAAGTATAGGTTTCGCATTAGCACTATCAAGAGTTCTAGGATTCCCATTCTTCTCAGAGTCAGCCACAGTTTGTTATGATCTACACAGTCAAACACCTTTGCATAATCAATGAAACACAGATATTCTTTTGGTATTCCCTGCTTTCAGCTAAGATCCATCTAACATTAGCTACAATATCGCTAGTACCAAAACCCCTTCTAAACCCAGCCTGGACTTCCAGCAGTTCTCTGCTGATGTGCTGTTCCAGTCATTTTTGGATAATCTTCAGTAGAATCTTGTTTGCATGTGAAATCAATGGTATCATTCTATAGTTTCCACACTCTATTGGGTCACCCTTCTTTGGAATGGGAACAAATATAGATCTCTTCCAGTCAGTTGGCCGACTGGTTGTTTTCCAGATGTTTTCTGATTACTATAAGGTTATTTCATCAGTGATGTTCAGCTCATGTACAAACCCACTGAAATTACCAAGGAAAGAACCAGTTTCTCTCTAGTGCACTAGACAGACTATATATTAGGTAAATTGAATCGACTATGACTTATAACAACCAGCAGATGGAAATCCTTGCCCTATCCTGCTCCATACTCATGATCTCGCTATTCTTATGCCCATTGTTGTGGTCACCACCTCAGCGCATGCCCATTGAGAGTCTTCCTCTATTTTTCTGACTATCTTTTCCCAATATAATGTACTTTTTCTTTCAAGGACTGGTTCTTCTCGACAACATGCCCAAAGTATGGGAGACAGAGAGTTTCACTCTCCTTGCATCTAAGGAACACTCTGGCTGCTCTTCCTCCAAGTCAGCTTTGTTCTCTTGACAGCCCTTCATGTGTTTTAGTACTCTTGGCTAACACCACAACTCAAAGGTATCTGTTCTTCTTTGATCTTTCTTAATCATTGCCAAATGTATATCCATAAGAAGTAATTGAAAATACCATGGCTTGCATCAGGTGCACCTTAGTCCATAAACTAATATCTTCGCTTTGGGGGTCCTTCACAGCTGATTTTCCCAATGCAATACATGTTTTAATTTCTTGACTGCTACTACCATGGATGTTGGTTGTGGATCTTATAAAATGAAATAATTGATAACTTCGATCTTTTTTCCATCTATCATGATGTTGCCTATTGGTCCAGTGGTGAAAATTTTTGTCCTCTTGATGTTGAGATGTAATCCAGATGGCACGCTCTAGTTTGAGATCCTTTTCAGTAAGTGCTTTAACTTCTGGGGCTTTAACTTTTGCCAATGCCTTCAGTACAGTTTGGGCTTTTTTTCCTCGGTAACACTTGCTCTTAATCATGTGCTATTTCCTGAAATGGTTCAGCATGGACCAATTGTTTTTGGTACAGTGCCCCTGTGCATTCCTCTTTTTGATACCTCCTACAAACTGTCAGATGAATAGTGAAACAGTCTATATTTAATATTCTTTCCAAATACCATAATTGAAATAAAGTCTGTCTTTCTTATTCATTGTCCAGCTTTTGATTGCATATGAGTTGATTGAAAATACCATGGCCTGAATAGGACAAACCAGAGTCCTCAAAGTGATACCTTTACTTTTTTTAACACTTTAAAGGAATCTTTGCAGTAGATTTGTGATGTAATATGTTTTTTGATTT